CTATGGACACTACGACCACGTTCACCCCTGCCACCCCATCCCCGTTGTGCAAAGGGTCGAAATGATCACTTGTTTGTGCTTCGTGAACACTCTCACCTTGCACGGCGGCACCATTGCGCTTCAAAGATGTACCAGGAGAAGCGTGATTATTAGACGACCGATCGTCATTTCCAAAAGGACAGTCAGAATCGGCGAATAACATTTGTACACATCCTCACAGTACAACTTTTTATTAGCCATTTGGCAATTTTCTCTCACAATTTACTCGCACGCTATGAACTGAACTGCTTCCGCATCAATGACATGATAGCTCACTTGCTCTGCTATTTCCTCGAACACTTTGAATAGGAACGTGACGTAATTTTGGTCTAGAATCGAAGTACTACATGTCTGCCATCTAGTGGTAGGGAATACAAATGAGATATTACACCATATTAGGAACTACAGTCTATTTTATTAAGTATGTCGTCTTGTCTCAATTTTGCGACTTTGGCGTTTAGGGGGTTAAACAGCTTGAAAGAACAAAGACCCTTTTTAATATAACTCCGACTGGATTCGTCTGAAAGAAGAAAGCCATATACACCTAGGATGACTTGCGGATGAGTAATTTATGGGCTAATTTTCATTTTTGAGTGAACTAACCCTTTAAGTAGATCGTAGCTCCATTGGTTTCAATGGGTCTACGATGTACTTAAGCTTACAATGCTTTTGGGAAACGCAGCCTGATCAAGTCTTCGGTGTCTGATTCGCTCCAAAATTTTACATCACATACTGACAATATACATGTGGCAAGCAGGGTGGGGCCGAGAGCCATGGGAACAGAGCCAGGAGGTGCGAACGTTCCATGAAACTCGAGGCCTCGCTCCCTTCCCACGGCTCTCGGCCCCGCCCTGCTTGCCACAATGATGTTTGAGGTCTTTTTGATATGTGAAACACATTTTACACTGAAGACACGTAAAAGGTCACTTTACGTGTGAAACTCTTTCCACATTGATCACATGTAAACGGCTTCTCACCCATGTGACTGTTCATGTGATAGTTAAGGTTTAGTTTTGTTGTGAAGTTCTTCCACACAGTTTGCAGGTTTAATGCTTCTCTCTGGTGTGAATTCTCATGTGCCCTTTAAAGCTTGTTTGTCGTGTGAAACTGTTTCCACACAGTTTGCATGTGAACGGCTTCTCTCCAGTGTGAACTCTCTTGTGGCTGTTAAAGTTTCCTTGTTGAGTGAAACTCTTTCCACACTGAGGGCATGTGTAAGGCTTCTCGCCGGTGTGAATCCTTATGTGCATGTTAAAGCTTCCTTTTCCAACGAAATTATTTCCACACAGTTTGCATGTGAACGGCTTCTCTCCAGTGTGAATTGTCATGTGGGCATTTAAAGTGCTTTTATGAGTAAAACTCTTTCCACAGCGAGAGCAGGTGTAAGGCTTCTCCTCGGAGAGATCTGATGAGGCATCTGAAATAACAGCATTGGAACAATGTGAAGGCGAAGATGAGGGCACTGCCGACAGCACACCCCTGCAGTATTCAGTAGGCATGTGTAGGCACTCAGGGCTGAACGGGTAGATGAGCTGGACAGGATTTTTGCAGTTTTCTGAGCCAGGTTTGTCTCTACCTGTGCTTGTGAGAGGTGGTATTCAGTCTGTGAGATGATTCTTTGCTCCAAGTCCATCATGTCAACCAGGGCCTGTGTTCCTTGTTCATAGAAGGTGTCATCCCACCATGGGGAAATTTCTGCATCCAGTGGCATCCTTCCAAGGATGTTAATCTGGCCCATTGAGAAATCCTCGGTTGCCTCTAAACAAAACGAGTGGTTAGCAGGACAGGTCAGTCCTCCATATGTGAATGAATTCATCTCACTGACGACACACCACTGTGTGTGAGACACCTGAATAGCATCAGAGTGACCGTGTAACGATTGAACATTTATAAGCTTGCTCTCATTGGAAGAAAAAGGTTGTAATGTGTTACATGTACAGACAACATAGTTGTGAGTCTCATGACAAGAAGTGCGACTGGTAAACAAGGTCTCAGTACCCTTTAAGGTCATGTATCCGGTAAGATGATCCCATTTAATTACCTGGTCTTTCACTACCATGCCAATCGATCGAATAGTGGTAGAATTTAGATAGACTTTATCTGGATGTATCAAGGGAAAAGTGACAAAAAATCCAAGGCATCCATTTAATTCATTACCAGTGTACATTATAACAGTTGATAATAATTCAGAATATTTCACATTTTTCATTTTTTCTGATGAAAGCCACCTATGTAGATCTAAGATTTCAATCAAGTCACTTAGAGCATGCCTAGATCAAGTCAAGTCACCTTTATTTATATAGAGCTTTTAACAATACAGATTGTGTCAAAGCAACTGTACAGCATTAAATAGGAAAATAGTGTGTCAATAATGCAAAAAGGCAGTTCATCATTGAATTCAGTGATGTCATCATCCAGCTCAGTTCAGATTAAATAGTATCTGTGCAATCAAGTCAACGATATCGCTGGAAATTAAGTGTCCCCAACTAAGCAAGCCAGAGGCGACAGTGGCAAGGAACAAAACTCCATCGGTGACAGAATAAAGAAAAAAACCTTGGGAGAAACCAGGCTCAGTCGGGGGGCCAGTTCTCCTCTGGCCAGACAAAACCAAGTCACATTGTGCAGAGGACTCAATTGGTTCCTGTGGTCTTGTCCCGGTGGCCGTCTAGGAGACAAGGTCTTCACTGGGGATCTGTCTCTGGGGTTCATCTAGTTGTCCTGATCTCCGCTGACATTCAGGGCTGTAGAGGTCATCTCTAGGTGCTGATCCACTATCTCGGCTGGATACGTACTGGATCCGGGTGACTGCAGTGACCATCTGATCTGGATACAGACTGGATCTGGTGGCTACGGTGACCTCGGAATAAGAAAGAAACAGACTAATATTAGCGTAGATGCCATTCTTCTAACGATGTAGCAAGCACATCGGGAGTTATGGGAAGTGTTCCCGGTTCCGGTTGTCCTAATTAAATATTTTATTTGTCGGGTAAGAATGTATCATGCCAATTACATAATTAAACAATTAGAAGCCAATTCAGAAGCCATACATGACAGCAGGGAGACACACAACCGCATGTGAGAGTTCTAGTGCAGAGCTCCAGAGACACACACATTGTGTGGGCGTTTTTTTGGTTACAGAATCCCAAAGTAGTGTTTTGCCACTTTGCTAATTAAGGCAGTTAAGGCAGCCCCTTAACCTGCACTGCACTGGAATTTGCTTTAATAAGTGTTAAAGTCAACCTTTATTTACTTTATTTATATAGCGCTTTTAACAATACAGATTGTGTCAAAGCAGCTTTACAGCATTCATTAGGAAAATAGTGTGTCAA